CAGCAGCAGCAGCAGCAGCAGCAGCAGCAGCAGCAGCGCGCGCAAGAGGCAGCAGCAGCAGGAGCAGCAGCAGTGGCAGCGGGCGGGCGGCGCCGAGGGCGGAAGGGGGGGGTGCGCGGTTGGGGAGCTGCAGCAGCAGCAGCTGCAGCTGCAGCAGCAGCAGCAGCAAGTGCAGCGCCAACGGGACCTGCTGCTGCAGGGCAGGGGAGGCGCAGCAGCAGCAGCAGCAACAGATAACTTCGATGAGGAAATCGAGAGAGACCTTCATAAGCTTTCCACCATGGTAACAGCAACTTCCGCTGCTGCTACTGCTGCTGCTGCTACTGCTGCTGCTGCTGCTGCTGCTGCTCTATTTCTTGATTTCTTTTCTCTCTGTTTGTCTCTCCAATTGTACTTTTTTTTATTCCTTCTTTGCCTCTTCTTTGTCTCTTTTGGATTCTTTAGTCCCTTTATTTTATTTTATTTTATTTTATCTTATTTTTATTTGATTTGATTTTATTTTATTTTTTTTTATTTACTCTTCCTTAATTTCCTTAGATGCGGGTATCTTATGGCTGCAGCATCACTGCAGCACCAGCAGCAGCAGCTCAGCAGCAACAGCAGCGTTGCCACTTCATGGACTTCTGATTTAATTTTAAATTTAAATATAAATTAAATTAAATTAAATTAAATTAAAGTAAATCGAAGTGAACTCGAAAGTAGAAGTGGCTTTTGAGGTGTACGTACAGCTGACGGAGCTGGAGGGCAGGGCCTCGGAAATAAATCGGCAGCTGCAGCAGCAAAACGAAACCCTCGGACTAATTGCTGCTGGAGTGCAGCAAAACAAAGCCGAGATGGAGAAGCAGCAGCAAGAAATCAAACGCGCCATCAAGCGCTGACTGTGAGCCAAGTGCTGCAGCAGCAGCAGCAGCAGCAGCAGCAGCGACAGTAGCGGTACCAGCAGCAGTATCAACATTAGCAGTTGCAGCAGCATTGGCAGCCAGCAGCAGTAGCAGCAGCAGTAACAACAGTAGCAGCAGCAGTAGCAGCAGCAGTAGCAGCAGCAGCAGCAGCAGCAGTAGCGGCAGCAGCAGCAGCAGCAGAGGTGTAACAGCATGAGAATAGGAGTTAAAACGACAAAAATGGAGTTTCTGTCTGCAAAAATAATAAAAAGAACTTTAATTAAATGAAAATGTTGAAAGCGAAAAAGAAAAGCTGCTGCTGCCAGGTGTACAGACACCGCATACATACAGCCGAGAGCTTGTCGACAGCTGAGGTGTACGTACACCTGAAAATCTCTTCTTTTTCTTTTTCATTTTGCGTTTTCAGAAAATCTGCAGCCAGAAAGCCGAGAAGAACTCCCAAACCCTAAACCCTAAACCCTAAACCCTGGGGTTTCGCGAGGCCCCACTAGTGCGCCGAAGCGGCAAAGCCGCTTCTGCAGCGTTTCGGGTGGCCTGAAAGGTCGAGGGTTTAGGGTTTAGGGTTTAGTGGTTTACCAGGGTTTCGGCTCCATGTGTCAGGGTTTAGGGTTTGGGAGGCCTAGGGTTTAGCGATTAGGGCCTGTGGGGTCTGCTGGCTTCCTCTGGACCCCAAACCCTAAACCCTAAACCCTAAACCCTTTTTCAAGGCCTCTTCCCTGGACAGAATTTGCATAGGTTCCAGGGTTCATTGTCTAGCTGCGTTGCCTAAACCCTAAACCCTAAACCCTAAACCCTGGGCCTCGAAAGCCGTTTGCCGCTTTTTTCCCACAAGGGCTCAAACCCTAAACCCTAAACCCTTTTCCGCCTTTCTTCTCGAGCCCATCGGCTGCACCGCCTTGCCGTCCCTCCTCTTCTGCTGCTGCTGCTGCTTCTGCTGCTGCTGCTGCTGCTGCTGCTGCTGCTGCAGCACGTA